GAATATGTTATGAGGTTTTTGTGGGGTTAAACCTTGAATACCTGCACCAACACATGATTGAGTGCCAGCACTACATATAATTTTTGTATTTAGAAGATGTTGCAGCTGATAAATATTACTTCGATTATTTATTTATTTATCAATTTTGCATCACCTTTTCCTTAGGTAAACTAATGTTAAAAAATAATAGGCCATAAAAGATATACACATTACATATGTTGAATAATGTACAGCTCTCGTTGTGTTCATGTACAACTATTTAGTAAAATATAGTTTCAACTAGCACTAGTGTAAATACACATATATCTATACACTACTGTTTTATTGTGTTGTTTGTTCTTCTCATGTTATTTCTAGACCACCTGTGATGTTTTTGAGTGACAGCATCTTTCCATTTTGTTTTGTAATTTTGCGATGGTGGTACTTTATTCATTTTTAATATTTTATGGTGAAGTAAAACACAATTTGTGTGTGTAGCATTTTAGTGCGGATTCTCATTTCTTGTTTTTTTATTATTCATGTATGTACGTAGCTGGGAATGTGGTGCACCTAAGAGTAAGGAGATTACCCCAATTCTCCCCCCAATAACAACAAACAATGAATATTGAATGAAACAGGCCACAGCATTTATTAACCTTACAACTGTAGGACTCATCCAAACTTTATTATTTTTACTTTAATTCAAATATAACACATAAATATATATACATACCATAATTAACATATAAATGAACACTTATTGCACTACAGCCTCCAACTTAAATAACCGTCCTTGCCAACAAACTTAACCAGCTGCCTATGCACCAAAATCTTTACCCACTGGTGTTTCGCCTCCCCCCTCGTCCAAACCAAAATTCCCATCATCTTAAATGCTCTACCACCAGCCGGCTTTTTGCTCAGTGGACAAGTCCAATTCGGTAACTTAAAAGTTTACCTTACAGAGCAGGGGAGGTTGAGACCCACCTTGTCCATATCCTGACATTCCAACTGCTCTCCAACCCTGTTGGCAAGGACACGCTCCCCACTAGCTATGACGGAACAAAAAACAAAAAATTAGGGTGAGTGAAGGGAAGTTGTTTGCTGGCCAGAATTCCAAAAGGAATTGAAACAAGATGATCTCTGCCCATCACTAGCACAATCCCCACACTCATACATGTGCCCTTGTCTGTTTAGCTGTTCTGACTCCCTGGAGCCTTGTATGCACGTGGCGAAAATGTGGTGCGACTAAGCGTAGGGAGACTACCCCAATTTTCCCCCCAATAACAACAAACAACGAATATTGGATTAAATTTACAACTGTAGGACTCATCTGAACTTTATTCTTTTTCCATTAATTCAAATATAACACATAAATATATATACATACCATAATTACCATATAAATGAACACTTATTGCCCTACAGCCTCCAACTTAAATAACCGTCCTTGCCAGCAAACTTAACCAGGTGCCTATGCACCAAAAACTTTACCCACTGGTGTCTCGCCTCCCCCCTCGTCCAAACCAAAATTCCCATCAACTTAAATGCTCTACCACCAGCCGGCTTTTTGCTCAGTGGTGTCAGAACTTAACTATCGGCTTCTCCAATAATCTGACACTTCCTGGTTCATGGACCAATGACACGCCCCCTTCTCTGATGCGGCTTCCTCACACTACTTAGAGGAACCGTGCCAGATTCAAAGTGCTTGGTTATTTTGAAGCTTCCTGAACATCTGACCGGCTACAAACAATCTCTCGCTAAACTTCTGAACGTGTACTGAACCTGGACTGTTCATACAGTGGATCTCCATTCTCCTTCTATTGACCTTGGATTACCTTTGGAATACTTACTGTTTTGTAAAACCTTCCAAGTAACGACAAGTTATAGATTTGGATGAATCCTCCTACTGGCACTTCAAGACTTACTGCTTAATTATTTTCCGTGCCTCCTTAGTTCAATTAGTGGACAAGCTATCTACATATTGTATTCCTTAAAGCTACATGAACTCTTTTCATAAAACTATCTACATATTGTATTCCCTAAAGCTACAGGAACTTTCTCAGCAAACTCTCTACATATTGTATTCCTTAAAGCTACATGAACTCTTTTCATAAAACTATCTACATATTGTATTCCCTAAAGCTACAGAAACTTTCTCAGCAAACTCTCTACATATTGTATTCCTTAAAGCTACATGAACTCTTTTCATCAAACTATCTACATGTATTCCCTTAAGCAACAGGAACTCTCTCATCAAACTCTCTACATATTGTATTCCTTAAAGCTACAGGAACTCTTCTCATCAGTCTATCTTCATATTGTTTCATTAAAGCTACTGGAACTCTTCTCATCAATCTACCTTCATACTGTATTCATTAAGGTTACATGAACTGTTATCTTCAAACTATCTTCATATTGTGTTCAGTAAAGATTCATGAACTGTTATCATCAAATTATCTTCGTATTGTATTCCTTCAAATTACAAGAACTGTTCTCTGCAATCCACCTTCTCGTAAAACTCCTTAATGAGGAATTGTTCCATGTAAATACTAATTACTATTTTAAAAATCATAAGGGTTCTCCTAACTATATTTCTGCAGTTGAGTTCCACTCCAAATCCATAGGAAATATAACAGATGGGCACATCCAATTCGGTAACTTAAAAGTTTACCTTGCAGAGCAGGAGAGGTTGTCCATCGCCTGACATTCCATCTCTTCCCCAACCCTGTTGGCAAGGACATACTCCCCTCCCACAATCCCTGCTGTTTTAAACCTAAAATCAGTGGGTAGCCCCACCAAAACCAACCAAGCCTGTCCCACCGCTTCCTGGATAGAAATATTAAAGAGGTTGAGCCAGTGGCGTACACATGACCCATGGGGCCCCGGTGCAAAAATTGATCCGTGCACCCCCCCGCACGCGCTTACTCAGCGCGGGTCGGGGTCGCAACACATGGTGGCGGGCACCTGGTCGCAGGGGTTGCAGGGCTGCGACCCCGCGACCACGGTATGCACACACACTTAAAGGACCACTACAGACACCCAGATCACATCAGCTCAATGAAGTGGTCTGGGTGCCAGGTCCCTCTAGTTTTAACCCTGCAGCTGAAAACATAGCAGTTTCAGAGAAACGGCTATGTTTCACTGAGGGTTAATCCAGCCTCTAGTGGCTGTCTCATTGACAGCTGCTAGAAGAGCTTCCGCGATTCTCACTGTGAAAATCAGTGAGAAGACACTGAACGTCCATAGGAAAGCATTGAGTAATGCTTTCCTATGGGCGGTTTAAATGCGCGCGCGCCTCTTGCCGCGCATGTGCATTTCGGAGCTGAGTGGCAGACACTGGGGAGTCCGACGCTGGAGAAAGGTAAATGCTGAAGACACACACACACACTCTCACGAACAGACACATACACACTAGCTAACAGACACACACATTTACTGACAGAGACACTCAGCGACAGACATACATACACTTTCACTGACAAACACACACTCACTAACAGACATCAAACACACTCAGTAACAGACACACACAGTAATACACTCACTAGCAGACACACACCCAATAACAGACACATTCACTGACACACACACTAACACACGCACTAACACAAACAAACACTGACACACTAACACACACACACACTAACACACACACACACACACACACTCTAACACACACATACACTAACACACACACTCTAACACAAACACACACATACACTAACACACACACTCTAACACACACATACACTAACACTAACACACACACACACTAACACACACATACACTAACACACACACTCTAACACAAACACACACATACACTAACACTAACACACACACTCTAACACACACATACACATTTTTTTTTTCAAATTTAATCCCCCCAGCCTCCTTACCTTTTGGAGTGCTGGGGGGATTCCCTGGGGTCCAGTGGTGCTGCTGGTCTCCTGGGCGGGCGCCGCGTAGGGATGCCGGCGCCGGAAGATGACGTCATCTTCCGGCTCCGGTATCAGTGCGGTGTGCGAGGGAGCTGAAGAGTAAGCACTGAGTGCTCCCTCGCACGCCCACCTGCCCGATGGGGTCAGCAGGGCCAGCCTCGGGGGGCCCTGGGGTGGTCGGCTCCTGGGCCCCCCAGGGGAAGAGGCTGGCCCTGGGCGTACATACCGGGTCGCAGGGGCGGCCGGGCCCCCTGGTGGGCCGGGCCCGGTCGCAGCCGCGACCCCTGCGACCCTGGTATGTACGCCACTGGGTTGAGCCCAAACTTACACTCAAACACACTGTGGTGCCCCGGGATCCCTTTTAC